TATGCATGCATGCATGCATGTATGTTTGTATATATGTATATGTATGTATGTATGCATGTATGTATGTATGTATGTATGTAGGTAGGTAGGTAGGTAGGTAGGTAGGTAGGTAGGTATGTATGTATCTAAAGTCTGCCGCCTCTGCCGCCGACCCCAATTGAGCGACGAATGTTAGATTCGTTTGTTGTCGGGGTACTTTTCCGAGCACGGCAGGAAGGGTTCAGATTGGTCTCCAGATTCTTTGGTGTATCTCGGATTTCTTTTGGGGGCAGTTTTGGAGCCGGGTCGCTGTTGGGTCTCTTGGGGGTTTCTTGCAGCCTTTTAGGCCTGTTGGGTGTCTCGTGCAAGCGCGGTTTTTGTTGGGAACGTGGCCCCTACGAACCTGTGCACAGAGGCTCCAGGAGGCTGGCGGTGTCAGGTGTGGTGGGGATGTGCCGGCGCGGTTTTTGCTGGGTGGGTGGGCCCTAAGAACCTGTGCAGGAGGCTGGCGGTGTCAGGGGTGGTGGGGGGGTGCCGGCGCGGTTTTGCTGGGTGGGTGGCCCGTAAGAACCTGTGCCCAGAGGATGCAGGAAGCTGGCGGTGTCAGGGGTGGTGGGGGTGCCGGCGCGGTTTTGCTGGGTGGGTGGCCCGAGAACCTGTGCCCAGAGGCTCCAGGAGGCTGGCGGTGTCAGGGGTGGTGGGGGTGCCGGCGCGGTTTTTGCTGGGTGGGTGGCCCCTAAGTGCCAGAGGTCCAGGAGGCTGGCGGTGTCAGGGGTGGTGGGGGGGTGCCAGCGCGGTTTTTGCTGGGTGGGTGGCCCCTGAGAACCTGTGCCCAGAGGCCCTCAGAAGGCTGGCGGTGTCTGGGGTGGTGGGGGGGTGCCGGCGCGGTTTTTGCTGGGTGGGTGGCCCCTAAGAGTTTGTTCCCGGAGGCTCCAGGAGGCTGGCGTTGGGGTGCCGGCGCGGTTTTTGCTGGGTGGGTGGCCTCTAAGAGCCTGTGCCCAGAGGCTCCAGGAGGCTAGCGGTGTCAGGGGTGGTGGGGGGGTGCTGGCGCGGTTTTTGCTGGGTGGGTGGCCCCTAAGAACCTGTGCCCAGAGGCCCTCAGAAGGCTGGCGGTGTCTGGGGTGGTGGGGGGGTGCCGGCGCGGTTTTTGCTGGGTGGGTGGCCCCTAAGAGTTTGTTCCCGGAGGCTCCAGGAGGCTGGCGTTGGGGGTGCCGGCGCGGTTTTTGCTGGGTGGGTGGCCTCTAAGAGCCTGTGCCCAGAGGCTCCAGGATGCTGGCGGTGTCAGGGGTGGTGGGGGGTGCTGGCGCGTTTTTTGCTGGGTGGGTGGCCCCTTGAGGGTCCCATCAGCTCTAATTAGCTGTCAGCGCCAATGAAGGAAGGCTGACAGGGCTGGTAGCTCTAATTAGCTGTCAGCCTTGAGTAAGAACAGAGCTCTCCTGCGGTTTCTATGTTGATTCTATCGCTGGCGATGTTAATTCTATGTTGATTTTATGCCAATTCTATGTTGAGCCTATGCGGTTTCTATACGATTCTATGGTGATTCTATGCGGTTTCTATGTTGATTTTCTGTTGATTGCATCCTCCCTCACCCTCCTCCTCCTCCTCCGCATTTTCCCCCCTCCCTCCTCCTCCTCCTCCTCCTCCTCCTCCTCCTCCTCCTGTTCACCGCGGCGCCTCCTAGACAGGAGACGTCGCCCCCTCTCGTTTCTTCGTTTTCTCATAGGGCGCAAAAGGGCGGCGCGGCTCCCGATGTTCTGGGCGCGCAGGCGGCGCGCGGATTCACTCAGCGAAGGCGTCGCTCACTCAGTGAAGGCGTCGCCGCTGGTTCGCCTGCGCGTCCCTGTTGCTGTTCTGGGCCAAGCGCGCCTCCGCCAAGATCACCAGTCGCTCGTCGACCAGCTTCCCGACCGGCGGCCCGTCGTGCTCCAGAACCTTGTTGTTGAGGCCGAGGCGGCAATTCTGGACGCATACCTGGCAGCGGGGAAACCGCCAGCTACCGTCGAGCTGCTGCGCGTATCGCCAGGCCGCGGCGTCGTTCGCAGCGCCGAGGGCGCCGCGCGTCGAGCACCGCCTGTCCCAGGCTGCCATGGCAACTGTTATGGTGAACTCCTGGATTCGAGTCGGGCAGCTCGCAGGAAGGTTTGAAGCCAAAAAAGGCTGCTGCAAAAATACAAATGGATGAGCAAGACGACTGGACATGTGAAGGCGAGGGGGGGCGAGGAGGACGGGGGAGGGGAACCCCGACGCGGGTCCACCTCCTGCGCAGGAGGGGGAGGGGGGGGGGCGACCTTTGTTTTGGATCTGGCCGAGGAGCAATGCCCATGCCATCGCAAGATCTTCGCGAAAAGGCTGCGAGAAAAATCTGGACATCAATGCGACGCTGAACCCCTTAGGCGTGAGCACGCTGCCACGACGCTTGGCGAAGTGGGCGCC